GTCAGGCACATTTCCAACGAGAATATTATATAGCAATGTTCTTGCTAACACATGCCTCCCAACATTTTTTCCCTTCAAATCAACACCTTAAAAGACCAAGGTCTGAAAAAGTGAATGAAGCTTTGCGATAGTCCGAAGGTTCTTTAGTCCGAAGGTTCGATTGTCCGAATGCACCTATTTCCCATAAGAGGGGGTTCGTTAGTCCAAAAATGAAATAAGGTTCGTTAATCCGAACATTATTTTGATGCAATAGTCCGAAGGTCCGATAATCCGAAGTTTCACTGATTCGTAGGTTCGGTAGTCCGAATTTTGAATAAGGTTAATTAGTTTTACACAAAAGCGTGAAAACTATAAAGTCTGTCATTTGGAATAATAATGTCAACTCCGCTTTCACAGTGGATGTGATTAAATGGCCAATCGTTATCAACAATGACATGCACTAATTATGCGGTGATTTTTTTTAATAATCAGAAAGATCAAATGTTCTTCAATTTGGAGAGAAATAAACCGAAAGTATAAAACGTTAATCAAGGACATTTGACGAATACCGTAGCCAAAATGGAACGGGATTGCAACCGTAAATGCACAGTTTTGCGTCGGCTGCAACTGCAAAAAGAGGGTTTACAAAAGCCGAAATCGTGATGGCCTGCGGTTGAGCGATCTAGCCTGGCTGTCGTAGCTAATGCTAGGTTCAGTAATCACACATTCCCGAATTCTTGCCACGAATAACCCGATCTATCCCGAATGAAATTCTAGATGGCAACGGGAGAAATTACCCCGAATCGCTGTTAGTAAGAATAACTTAAGAATGAAACAAAAATAATCAAGAACTAAGGTACGATTTGGAAGCCGAATCAGACCAAACTAGCCGAATGATTGCAATTTAGTGCAGGATAAAACCGAATTGTAGCGATTTTGTCAAGAATAACATGCGAACAACTCAAAAATCATCCATAATGACCTTTAATTGGGTAGATTTAGTGTATTCATAAATTATTCTTATAATATTCGTACATTTCTGGATAAATTCTTAATGATTGGGCATGATTCTGAACTATTAACACTAAAAATAACTCTATACGAAACTTGTAAGAATACTGTAAGAATATCCAGAATGCAATGATGTATCCAGAATTAGTTATGAATACAACAAGAATAAACCAAGAATTGAAGTTGGTTCTCGAATCACCCCGACAATTTTGAACATGTCCAAATTGTTGGGGCGCTTCCCGATCTTTAACGATTTTTCACCGAACTGACAGAATCATCCCGAGGCAGCCAAGAACCATTCCCCGATTTACTCAAGATTTGACTTTCACGGCGATTCGGCTTAAAAATTGGGAATGTGTGAACCGTCTTTTTGATCCTTTACGGGGGTAGATCCTGGCACGAATCCTACACACAAGGATGAACTACTGTTTTGAGCTCTAGTTCAAAAAGCAATGAGCGGGCTTGCCTTAATTTGATGGACGCGTGATAACGGGCATTAATACCCGTCGGCAAGTTAATCGCAAATGTTGCAGGTGTGCCATTTTGTAGGTTTTTTTTTGCAAATCTAAAATGGAAATATTCATGAAGCTGTTAGCAAAACCAATCCTTATGTAAGATATACTTGTTCCAAAATTGTTTAAACAGAATTACTTCAGGATATAACAGATGGAATTGTGCAGTTTTTATTCGTCATATGCATAGATGAAGTATTCACCCGGGAGATAGACGTCAAGTGTAGAGGAGAACACCGTTTACCCAAATTTTGTTTTTAATGATATAGGCTTTCAATAAAACGAGATATATGGTCCCGAACCGATGAAACAAATGCGACATTTCACATTTCATCTTAAAGCTAATGATATTGTGGTCGGCGATAACATGGTTATCATAGTTATCACTGTCTTATCAGAATTCACTAATAAAGTCCAAAAACGTAGAATCATGAATATTATTAGCTGGCTTGACAGACTTCGACACCAGATCGGTTGCAGAGACCTGCAAAAGAAAGCCGCCGCGCAGGAGACTTTCTTGATTAAGTATTCATGACTACCTGTACAGGCCATTATCACGCGTCTAACCAAGAGTTTGGCCGAGTCGTTTATAATCTTTTTGTCACGGTAGGATCCGTGATCCAAGTCGGCTACTCGAACGCACCCTGTGGTGTACACGTGGCGTCCAGGAACACTGATGTGGGTGTTGGTCAACTCATCTGTGAAAGTTTAACGGTGAATTATTGTTTTCAACGATTAAAGACACGCTACTACGGATGCTACGGATCACGGGCTGATTCAGCCACCGTATAAGCCCGCTGCGATTCAGCACCGCGATTCGGGTACTATGATTCGGGTACTACCCTGAAGCACACCGTTATTTTTTAAGCTGTAGCAGGTGCTTCTATACATGTCACTTGCATGGTGGTCGGTCGGTCTGTCTGTTTGTCTGTCATGGTGGGCGTCGTGGTGTCTGTATGTCTGTCCCCGGACAATTGACCAAAAATAATTGACTTATTGACCAAATGCCATGCCGTGGTCAACAAATGCAATCTTGACGATGTTTTTCGGAACAAGCGATTTCTATTTTGCGTATGAAGTGAGACTTTCCCGAACTGGGCCAGAGCTTATTTAGTCCGAGTATCACCCGGTATCCACGGAGCCAGTCTCCGTATTACGTCTGATATATCAAAACATGCAGATTCGATCTCGCGCCTCAGCCAATCGCAGTTGCTTTTACTAAATCGTGACGTCATTCCAATGCCAAATCAAGACGTTTGATTGGTCAATTCGAATGCAGTGTTTTGTAATACAACAACAGCCGGGCGCGTATCGCGTAACATAATACAGAGCGCGTGACACAGGTTTTGTTTTCCATGTCTATGACCGAAGACCCGACATACTGGGAGTCCGCCCGCTGATTGGTCAAAATCTGGAGGCCAAGATGCTGTTGTCTTGCATCATTAATCAGCGAATCTGCTCAAATGTTATAGGCCATGGTTTTGCCATGGTCTGTCACATAGACTAGAGCTTATTGTGCACTCGCGCATGATTCCACTAGCGCGCAAGGAGCCAGTTTCCTTCGCCCTCGTGCTCGCGGGACAGAAGCAATTTTGTAGCTCTATTCTGTGCCCCCTTAAACACACTAGTCCAGGAGGTATGCCTGTGACGATATAAGGCCAAAAAAAAAAAGTCTCCGGTTTCTGGTATGCGCGCGCGTCGCCGTATCCATTTTTTTTTCAATAAAAAATGATGTCTCAAAACCGCCAAACTCATTGGTTTGACTGGAATCCTGCTGCTGCACAGTTTTAACGTGTTTTTAGATGGGGTTATGATCGAGAATAAGCTTTAAGTGGCCTCTCTGGACTCCCATATATTTGCACTAAGTTTAGTCGGGCACCATTTGCAGTCATCAGCCGACATTTAAAGCAAAAAAAAAAAGGTAAAAAAAAAAAAAAAAAAAACGCGTCGCCGCACCACTTTTTGGGCAAGCTCCATACCAGAAACCGGAGACTTTTTGGCCTAAGGGGTTTTCTAAAGAAAAAAAGGGACAAATCCTGGACAAATTGAGAGAAAATGGCCCGAATTATTTGGACCCCTGTACACTTTCAGTGGACCGCTTTCGCTTCTTGCCGCCAGGCCCATTTAAGCACTTGCGTGCATAATTATGAATTTATAATAGGTTTTCCCAGCTATTTTAAAAGATATGTCACTCAAATTCACCAACTCTATCATTTAATTTCGTCCACGAAAAAATTCACAGGCTTTTAACAAAACCAATTTAGTCATTAACCATTCAGTTTGGTCACCCTCTTTAGTCACCAGGTCGAGAATATTCGTCATTACAGATTTAAATTCGTCTAAGCTGTTGCCGAATGGCAGCATTCAGAGATCAAATTCGTCTTATATAAATCGATTAGACGAATTCCGATTTCTGAATAACACGATTCGGCGTAGACGAGACGAAATCGAATACGCCGGGTCAAAAACGTGTGCTCATTGTTTGAATTTGTTTGGACTAAATATGAAATTGTCCGGACAAAATATGAATTAAACATTGGCAGTGCACTAAATCGATGTTGCTGGACAAATTTGAATAGAATAAGAATCGATGAATTCGAACGAAAAATGTTTTAAAATAGCCGGGAAAACCTATTGTAAAGAGGTCCATTATAAAAATGTATTGGATACTACATATTGCGCAGCAGACGGTGTGTAATAACAAAGTGCGCATTTTATTACACGGGTCCTTTTGTGTATGGGGAGGAGTTACGGGACCGGTGAAGTATGAACATTGGACTCTATAAAGTAAGGTCTCGCTTGGAGAATTGTGTGCGCCTCATCTCATATCAGAGAATCATGCCTGTAGGCTGTGAGCCCATTAAGAAGGACCAAAATTCATAGGAGTCCAAATTTCATACGACACCGGAAGCGGTACGGTGCCACCAATGTTGTTACTGGACGGATGATTGGTAGCCTTACTGCGTTAGCGACTGCTGCTCCCATATAGTGATTCATCAGCAACAATTAAAAGCTGCTGAGAACGAGCAAGACTTAAAGGTAAAAACACTTCCCATTTCTTTGTACACGTATTCAGCAGTCTGAATAATCATTCTGTAATACTGTTTAGGCCCAATTTAAAAACAAAACAATATTGCTTTGAAAGCAGTGTTGCGTCAAGTAGGCCTACAACTTCTTTCAAAACGTAATTATTCGGCCGAGATAATATATTTGATTGCGTCAAAAGTATATCTATCAGGTTCGAGTTTGCAGGCATTTACTAGGAATGGATTGCATTTGACTTTGATTTTCAAGTTACGTACTGATTTGCACCCTTTACTGCATGAATGGAAAGTCACACAAAGGAAGTTTTAGCAGGCCTTTATTATTATTGTTGGAGACATCAGAAAAGGGAATTGTTACAGGCATGTATCACAACTGATATGAAATAATGTCCTACCCACATTGGAAAATGTAGTCATTTTAATAAGAGGCGATTAAAGTAATTTTTGCTATATAAATGTGGTGGTCTACCCTATTATAATTGTAGGGCTGGGGTCCGTCCTTGATTAAACACGGATGAAACTGGACACCAGTCAATCACTTCTCGATCACTACGGTTTATTTCCAATCGGATGCTTGGTCAATCATAGAGGTAGGAATAGAAAACCCCAAAACAAAACCCTGTAACAGAAAAATAAGTATTGCCTATTGATTACATAATACACAGTTTCATAATAATATCTGGGTTCTAGACACACTTTTAGTTCAATAATTGTCTTCAAAAATAATAATAAATATATATAAAACCTTACCCCAGGGTCAGTCAGTCCAAAATGTTAGGATGTCTCAATGCATGTACATGGAGTGGTGTACATTCGGTATTCCTGGAACTTAAGTCCCCCGAAATTATAGGAAGCAGGGTTATCATTCCTGAGTTCCTGACAGTGACATTAGCGTACAGCATTCTCCTACATGTATGTGTCCGAATTTCTCATCGATTGCCCACTCGAGCTCTCCGCAAAATGATTTCTCATTGAGGGACAGTCCCTCCGCACGCAATAGCGCGCGGTGTCATAGAGATAAACGATAAACACGCCATACACAATGGCGGTGTCCTGTTATATCGGGACTCCCACAACTTCCCTGCTTTTATGCCATGCGACCCGAATGGCACGTACATAAGCATCACAATGACCCAAGGAGATATGTACATCAGTTTACATTAGTTACAATCAATAACCTTTAAAACAAGCAATGGGGGTAATAGATATCTTCAATAATCTGAACGTTTGAGTTTGGGATACTCGGACCAGCCCCTGTGGTCACATTTGTAATTAAAAGTAAGCTCAAATGAAAAGCTATAGAAACTCTCTCTCTGTTCCTTTCAAGTGAAAAACACATAATTTAAAGGTACACATCAGTCCTTACTTTACTGTTACAAGCTTTAACTTCTAGCTATAGTAAAGATATTATCTTGTTTTCTGTATAGAATACAGTGTTTAAAGAAAACTGGTGTCAACAAGAAGTTACAATGTTGTACTTCCAATACTCCAAACTGTGTTAAACAGATTTCAGAAGAATTCAAACTCGCTCTTCAACTTGTTCACAGTATAAGAAAACAAAATGCTTCCTATAAGATATTGGAAAACGTTAGCATAGCAATATAGCTAGCACACTATCAAAATATTTTGTAAACCAACAACTTTGTTATAGTAACAATAAAACATGAACAAGTAGCAAGCTACAGGGTGCCAGGCTGGTCAAACCATGTCCTATAATAGGAGTACCAGGACCCATTACTTAACTCGATCGTCAAGCAGAATTAATGATAAATAATTAGGTAATTGCATTTGGCCAGCAACCCCAAAGTCTCGTACGACGTTCAGAGGGCCTCAATCCAAACTCCTCTGGACTTTGGGTGAACATGTGTGTTCCAACTACAGGTAGTGTACAGGTGCAACTTGGCCTATGAGCTATGTAAGATCCAATTTGACTCGCTCCCTTAATCGAACTGAAATTACGGATTACAGGAGGTTTGTTTTCAACCTCATCAACATTTGGAACAACGACCAAAATTAAATACTCATCAGATGAGCACTCACTCTCATCATTGAAATCAGGATTTTCATCACAAATACAAGGTGAACATGAATGTCGACAATCATCAACAGAACTCTCTGTCAAAATCACAAAGTCATCACCATGGGGTTTGTTCAAAGTACTGGAATCATTTACCTCATCAAGAGGGTAATACGCAGGCTCATCCAGTGGGTTCCCTGTTTTTTCCTCTGCCCTAAGTTCAAGCAGAATATTTATATTGGATTGCAGATCATCTAACTGCTCATTAATTTGTTGCTGCTGCAAAACCAAAATGTTTACTAACTCGATTAAGTATTTCTGACTTTCGAGTAGTGGTAACAGACCATCATGGTCACTTGAACCAAAGTGATCTACATCTATGTCACAATCAGATATAATTGCTGGGCCATATGGACTACACTTTGCCCTTTCTACAACAGGTGGGTCTCTTTCCAACTTGATTGATCACATTTCAAATCTTGAATTTGCTGAGGCACTGGACAACTGATACCTTTCAGTGCTCCAACAATAGTATCAATAAAGGCTCTATGAGATTCCACAACAACATTTACCAAGACCTCATTTGTGGCCATAATTCAAACCAAAGTTATTAGCTTCAAAGCTATACAAGAATCTCAGCTGATGTAAACACAATCAGGGCCAAATTCAAATACAAAATGTCACATGTCTACAATAAGACTAGATGCAATATATGCAATCAAAATGTGTACGCTTAACAGGAAAAATCCAGTCAAAACATAAGGAAAAAGCCTAGCCATGAAAGTGAACTATTCACTGACCACAAAATATGTCTCTACAAGGTCCCAAATATTCTGGTGAAATTGCCAAACAAAATCTCACAATGGGTTATTCACAAAACCACTCAACAGTGAGCACAAATATAGTTCTACAAATTTAGAACTAGAATTCCATGCATACAAAGCAGGAAGGTAAAATGTTGACAGATTCCACCTTGGAACAAATTGGACAGAAAGGAGTAGACCCATACAATACAAACAGTCTTCAAATGAGCTGTATACAACAAGGGTCAACAGGGGATGCAAATGCAAAAATTCCCTGGATAGATCAGTGAAAGCGCACAAATACAAAAGAATATTCTAGGCTGCAATTTCTCTGAAAATTTCTGTAGCACACCTTACAAGTAGTACGTGAATACAAAATGTTGGCACTTTCCAACAACACTACACAAAATCTTCTGTTGTGAGCCAAAAAAAAAGTGAGTTTGTCAAAAAGTCTTACATAGCAGGGTTATACATCAATACCCATGGCTGTACACCATGAAAACAAGTTGGCATATGCCAACAATACAAACAGACTTGTGCTCGTCACACAAGTACAACTACATGACAAAATGTCAAAGTGGCCACACCGCCCGGTAATGCCATCATCCAGTCTGACTCTGGGGGTCTCTTTGGTAGAGGTAGCTTGATGACAATAACTCCCAGCATCCTGTCTACGACGCCATTTTTACTGTGGTGGTCTACCCTATTATAATTGTAGGGCTGGGGTCCGTCCTTGATTAAACACGGATGAAACTGGACACCAGTCAATCACTTCTCGATCACTACGGTTTATTTCCAATCGGATGCTTGGTCAATCATAGAGGTAGGAATAGAAAACCCCAAAACAAAACCCTGTAACAGAAAAATAAGTATTGCCTATTGATTACATAATACACAGTTTCATAATAATATCTGGGTTCTAGACACACTTTTAGTTCAATAATTGTCTTCAAAAATAATAATAAATATATATAAAACCTTACCCCAGGGTCAGTCAGTCCAAAATGTTAGGATGTCTCAATGCATGTACATGGAGTGGTGTACATTCGGTATTCCTGGAACTTAAGTCCCCCGAAATTATAGGAAGCAGGGTTATCATTCCTGAGTTCCTGACAGTGACATTAGCGTACAGCATTCTCCTACATGTATGTGTCCGAATTTCTCATCGATTGCCCACTCGAGCTCTCCGCAAAATGATTTCTCATTGAGGGACAGTCCCTCCGCACGCAATAGCGCGCGGTGTCATAGAGATAAACGATAAACACGCCATACACAATGGCGGTGTCCTGTTATATCGGGACTCCCACATAAATACAGAATAGAGACAAGACTAGTGATAGCCGGTGGCAGCACCCATTGGAAGGTTAGAAGGTGTGGAATTTCACGCTGAAATAATATTCATCCTAAATGTACAATCCAAAATGTCCTTCACAAATAATATCTTCCTGCAAACTATGTTTTTTTTTTTTTTATAGATTTGGCAAGAGATTGGCCACCGAATGGACAGGATGTTATTAATCTGTAGTATCTTAGTCGCCGTTGTTGCGAATTTGCCACAATCACAGTGAGTTTGTTTTCTGTGTATAGCTTATAAGACCCCCCCCCCCAAAAAGCCCCACTCACCCAACAAACACACATACACTGTGTTTTTGCCTGCAACCGGGGACCCCTGTTCTGTCCCTCTTTTGTTTGTACCTTAACTTTATAGGAAGACATTCCATAGGCGTAGCCAGCAGGGGGGGGGGGGTAACCCCCCCCCCAATATTTTGTAAAGAGTGGCCGCCCTTTTTTACGTAGTGGCCTTTTTTCTGAACAAGTGCCCTTTTCAGAAAAGAAGTGGTGCCCTTTTTTGTGGCATCTGCCGTTTTGGGTGCCTTTTTCAGAATTCCGCACATGTATCGCCCTGAAAAGCACCATATATTGGCCCTTTGTGTGCATAATTGTCGGTTTTGAACAGCGCCCCCATCGACAGATGGTACAGATGGTACGACAGATTTTACGGAGGCCAAGTGTCCAGAGAAAAAAACTGTGGACATTTCACAACGGATGTGCAAGTGTCCTTTTCAAAAAAAATTACACCACCATAAAAATGACCGTGCTACGCCCCTGCATCCCCTATGTTTTGTACACGAATCCAAATAGGGGATCTCTCGGGAATTGGGGACCCTATTGTCCTGTATTGTTCAATGTATCCTGTTGAATGCAGAAACAAACTCACACACAATACAAATACTTGGCAACACACAATCATGTAATCTAAAAAAAAAATTCGTTCAGAATTCTTTCTAGGCTCAGTTATTTGTTCAACCCTTATTTTTGTGAATCAAAACAATTTACTTAACTTTTTTCCCGAAATTGTTAATAGACAGGTCTTAGTATTAGTGTTGATTAGGCCAAAAAAAAATCTCCGGTTTCTGGTATGGAGCTTGCCCAAAAAGTGGTGCGGCGACGCGGCTTTTTTTTTTTTTACCTGACTTTTTGCTTCAAATGTCGGCTGATGACTGCAAATGGTGCCCGACTAAACTTAGTGCAAATATATGGGAGTCCAGAGAGGCCACATAAAGCTTATTCTCGATCATAACCCCATCTAAAAACACGTTAAAATTGTGCAGCAGCAGGATTCCAGTCTAACCAGTGAGTTTGGCGGTTTTGAGACATCATCTTTCATTGAAAAAAACTTTTCATTTTGCCGACGCGCCTGGCTACGGCGACGCGCGCGCATACCAGAAACCGGAGACTTTTTTTTTTTGGCCTAGTAGCAAAACCACATCTGCATTTTGACTTTCAACACACAAATCTGTTGACTTTCAACACACAAATCAGTTTGGGAGTTTTAATTCATTTGGCTCTTGTATACATATTTTTTCATCAACTTGCTATATGCTAGTTATTTGCAGTATGAGGTAAAATTATTGAGAGTAATCTTTCGGCAAAAAAATTAAATCTTTCTAAAATATATACTTTATTTCCATCCTCTTATAGAGCCACCGTCTGTTCGTATACGTGTACGCAACGGTTCATTACAGATTGTTGGTTGTTTTTTGGCTGCTCGGCATACAGGTTTGTTTTGTCTACTTTACCAACTTAGCATAGACCCTCAAGGGTGATGGCGATCATTACCATTGATGGATAGATGAATTAGATTGATGGGGATGGCGCATGTGTATGAAATGAAAGTGCAATAAAAAGGGGCAACGGCAACAGTATATACCCATAAAGCTCAGTGTTCCCTTTTCTTTTTTGTCTTTTTTCCCTTTAAGAGAACGTGATCACTAGCGAAATGAGTACGTGTTGTTTGCCCTGTGTGCAGTTGGTGGTGCTTGATGGTACACTCTAAAAATGCATTAGTCAGATTTGACTAGAAACTACTTAAATTTGACTAGCCATTCAGGGTCAGCTGGGTGCAACTGAAAATCAGTCAATCTGACTAGATTTTTCCAGTCAGTATTGAAAAATAGTTATGCAAATAACTAAAATTGGAGTCAAATCAAACTACTTTTTCTATAGTACGAAACTTTGCATGTTAAACTAAATTCCTAGTCAACTTTCAATAACTAGGAAAACCAGTCAATATTTTAACTTAGGTGCTTTTAGAGTTCAGTTAATTATGTCGGTCTAAACACTGAAATAGTGTGACGTCACCTCCTCCCGAAGTCAGGCTCACTTCCTCGACAACGGTTCACGCTCATTCCAATAAGACACATTTCACGAAGGCCCTACGTTCAATACAACATAACAACACAGGCAGCAAATTTACATCCTACTTTTTTGTAAAGAACATTTTCCCTCACAAAGAATGGTTCACTGCCTGGTTCAATGCCTTTCATCAAAGAATCAGGCCAATACGGATTTACAACAGGAATAGCAAAACCATGGTGTTCACTAGTCCGAGTAACTAGGACTCTACGAATCGCCTTTTTAACATTTGGTCATGGTCGGGCGATAGTAGAGTCCGAGGATCATATCAGTACCGCGACTTCCATTTAATTAATTCCACTCGTTTTCATCATACCCCAAAACAAAATCCTCAAATTTCTCCCCTAAAATAGTGCTCAAATTGCCTGATGCGGCCCTGTAGCAGGCACGGGTCGGGGGGGGGGGTCAAACCCCCCAGCTCTGTCAAAAAAAATAATTATCACACAAATTCCTAAAAAATAAGTCGAACCCCCTGCTGTGACACCCCCCCCCCCCCCAAAAAAAACTATACTGGTATAATGTCCGCCTGTTCAAAATACGGTACACCATTCTGTAATCTAGTGTTATAGACCTTTCTGCGCTTGGTTGGCAAACTGCATTTTTGCCAACCACGGCCTGCAAAACTATGAAAGGTCCAACACTGCAAAAATGAAGAAGGGTTATTACAGATCACTAAAATATTATTTGATACTTGAAAATACAACATTTTCAACAAAGCTACAAAATAATTCCTACATATGCCTTTTTACTATGTGTTGATGGCGTTATGAGGACTGTGTTTGAAAAAAATATGTTGCCAACCACAGCTTTAATTTATGCACTTACGGCAGCCCATACAAAATGGCGTCAATGTTTACAAACAAAAGAAAGGCCTATAATTGTCGCATTTGAACAGCGCCCCCTACTCAAATATAGTACAGCCCCCCCCCCCCCCTCAAGTTTTTGATTTTACGGAGGCCCAGTGTCCGGAGAAAACACCTGTTTACATTTTCTGATTTTTGTTGTTGATGACCCCCCCCCCCCCCCCCCCCCTGCGAAAATTCCTGGATCCGCCCCTGTGTAGGCTTCATTGTGAATTGAAAATACGAATGGTGCATGGTGGTTCGGGTTCACATACCTTTGGGTATGAGAAAAGAGAAATTCACCTTCAATTCAGGAAACATCCTCGTCGCACTCGCGGTGTGTGAGGCTGTCATTTTTGAATTCAGGAAAAACTGTCTTGTGAATGGCTCCTGGCTAGAATGTTTCCTGGGCCTCCTAAAAATATTAGAGTCAGAAGGACAATGGGAACAGGGAACCAGACTAGCTTATGGCTAGCATCAGACAGACCAATCACATGGTGCTTCGATTGGTCACCTCGATTGGTCGCCCCAATAGGCCAATCACATGCCTTCTCGATTGAGTGTCTCCAGGTCAGTATTTCCTGAACTCAAAATGACAGCCTCAAACACGGCGCGTGCGACGAGGATGTTTCTCGAATTGAAAATGAAATTTCTCTTTTCTCCCAGAAGGTATGTGAACATAACCACCACCATTTGTATTTTCAAATCTCGCTGAAGCCTACAGGGGCGCATCAGGCAATTTGATGACTATTTTGGGTGCGAAATCTAAGGATTTTGTTTGGGGCAATGGGGGTATAATGAAAATGCGTGGAATTAATTTAACGGAAGTCGCGGTACGGATATGATCCTCGGACTCTGCTATCGCCCGACCATGTCCAAATGTTAAAAAGGGCGATTTGTAGAGTCCTAGTTACTCGGAGTAGGTGTTCACTATAAACCACTAACCATGGTTGCAGGGGGAGGGGGGGGGGGCTGGGGAGCTGGGCAACATCTTGCTATAGGGGGAGCGCTGTTAAAAGCGGACGACAATGGGCATTATCTGACAATACTAATGAACGTTTGCGGTAACACCATGTGGACATTTCTTTTTGGGAAGATGTGTGGAAACATAACGGGTGGTTGGCAAACTGAAAAAAAATGTAATCATCTGACAATTAGTGACCTTCTTCATCCCGGCACATTTTCGACAGGATGAGGACGATTTTGCCGACAAAACGATTAATAGGGGGGGGGGGGGGTTCACACCACCCACCCCTCTGAGTGACGCCCGTGGGCCCAGGTATCACATCCCACCCTTTCTTCCAATTATAACGCCCCTTGAACTGTCTAATATAAGCCCTTCCCCTACCCTCAACTGCCTCAGTATTATATTAGCACCATCCCCGCTGTATAAACTGGTGTTCTATGACGAATCTGCATAATTGTCACTTACTCTTATTGGCACTTCGTCAAACCTGTGATGAATTAATGTTGCGAAATCAATTCATAAACAGCTCAAAAGACTTGGTGTAAAAAATATATTGTGGTGTAGGCCTACTTCTCATCCCATATAGGATCTGACGTTAACTTGTGCCGAGCCACACTATAACTTCTATAATTTTGTGAATGTACATTTTTAACAAAAAAAACAGCCAAAATTGATTGGTCAACTTTATCATGAGCTGCCAATTTGTCATACAACATCAGTAA